TTTTCGAAACCGTGATTATCCATCCCGTGGGTTCACGTGTTAACCACCGCACCAACCTATGCCCTCGTTTTGTCTTTACCTCAGCCATTTTTTTTCTTCAAATAAAAGTTAAACATTATGGTTTTGCGTGGGCCTCTCTGCAAAGTTTTTCTAAATCCAAATGGACCACTTCAACTTCGTCTTCACCTTAGCTTCATGGGAATGCATAGTAGATGAAGTTTGTCGAAGGCTATATCGTACCAGATTTCTTCTACCGTAAACATCCAATTAGGGTCATTAGTTTTTCGACAAATCGATGTCCATAACGAAGCTGCTGTATACATCAATGTGCATACGTATACCGACAAAGTTTAGAGGAATGTTAGGGTGTTACTATTCCTAAAGGATTTTCGTAATGTGAGGTAGGAAAGGAATTGAATGCACTTTTGCAGACCATCACCCTCCTTTTGTTAGCTGCAAATTACCTTGACATTACGACAAATGTTGGGCTAAAACTACAAGAAATACCTCTCAATGTGTCCAAGAAATGTTTGCGTGCGTGGATGAGCCGTGTGCTTCATCCGCGACGATTTTAAATATCAAAATTTGTGACTCACTCCCCTGACAACGTGGATGTGCCGACTTTACGAGTAGTGTCTACTTCAATAGATTTTTCATCTGTGTCTTCCTCTCTGAATCGTTACTCATGATTGTGGTGACATGAACCACAAACACGCCATCAGATCTTGTTAGTCGAGGACGTTTGCATTATCTTGGAATCCAATCCGCAGTTCTTATCATCCATCTCCCATTGGCTCCTCTCGCAACATGATCGACCCATCTTCATTTCGCAATTGACGTGTATTCTCCTGGATTTCGAACGTATAACATGTTTCGAACTAGAGAATTGCATATTTCGACTAGACTTACTCCGACTGGCTGTATTTCAAAAGACATCGTTCAGAAGCTCTGTGAGTTGTACATAGAATTTTGACGCGGTTGAAGTTGAACCAACGACTCTAACTTAACTTTCATCACTATGAGCTGGTATTCATGGATTCCTGAAAATAAATGGCTCGTGAACTTTCTTTGAATTTTTACATATATTGGTATCAAGGACCGGGTCCCATATATCCAAGGAAGTTAGGAGATCTAAAGGTTTATTGTCATGATTACATTCTTGATAACACATAAAAATGTTTCAAAAAATTTGCACTGAGCAACGTCCTACTCTTGAAACGCTTCTAGGATTCCTAAACATAAAAATCCTTAGTGAAACGGCAGCACATAATCTTCAAGAAAGTATTGTTAAAAAGGTGTTTTTCTCCGGACTATCCATCCTACAATAGTCAGCATTATATTAGCTGACTATTATCAACGGATAACGAATCATTGAAGAATCTTCTTGTGTAAAAACGAAACGCCTAGTAAGGTCATTTCATTCGATAACTACCCAACTATAAAAGACTAAAATCGATTCGGCTAAGAAAATCCAAATCGTGGGTATGTCTGGACCTTGGCAATCAACTCGGATCAATCCGCCTGTGAAGATTGCTAAGGTGCAGAAAAGTAAGCCGAATAATTTTTTGTAAAGATTTCGTGTTCGTAATCAACTGTTTTTTTTACTAACGCATCCTATGTTGCTATCACAATAGTTTTTCACAATAACTGAAGTTCCTGAGGTTTCGACTTTTCACAGCTTCAAAAGGTCAAACTGACACACAATCGACGCAGTCAAACACTTCCATAACCCAAGAAGAAAATACTAAAAATATAAATTTCATTCGCCTAGCAAACAGCTTCTTTTAAACACTCAGCGCATTCTTAACTCTTTTATTTACTGCCTTTTTCTTCTTAATGGCAGGCTATGTTGTGAAATATAACTCGTATGAAGTGCTGAGATATTTGCAAAACTCCGGACCACAGGTGTATGCAGTGGAGAACGAACACGCGCTGTTGTCCTTACCGGGGAGCAGCGCACTTCGTTGACGGGTGATTGCTGATGGCAAAAAGATCGATAGAACTAGCTGAGAGACATGCAAAGCGAAGGACCCGGATGGTGTAGTGAAGGGCACTGCTCCCCGGTAAGTACAACAGCGCATGTTCGTTCCCCACTGCATACACCTGTGGTCCGGAGTTTTGCAAATATCTCAGCACTTCACACTCAGCGCATTGTTATTAAGCTCGTCTTAGCTTATTAATGAAAAAATTCTTGTGGTTATGCTAGCCGAGGTCAGATAAAAGTCGGTTTTCATAAACATCAAATAAATGCTGTATTAACAACCTTGTGTTTGCTCATCAAGAAAGCAGTGGTTTATTGATTAATTCTGAGCTTAGTAGAAAATCACTGGTAAGAATTACCAAACCGAATCGTTTTTGAATAAACTTAGAATGTAATCGCTTTTTATTTACTACCTATTCCTTTTTTCATGGCAAGGTATGATGTGAAATTGAAGTACAATGATGCTAAGGACAGATATGGGAGACCGTGTGATATAAACTTAAAATGTTCTTAAAAGCCTTAAAGTACTACATTAATTTATAACCATATACAATTCGAAGGGCTGGTGTGACTCAATGGTCGGAGGCTCCCTGCAATACACACGGGAACGATTCCTGCGCCCCTGGCTCACCAAGCCTTTCATCCCTTCGCGGTCGGAAAATTGGTACCAGACTTCTCTGGGAGGATAGTAGCACTGGCTGAATGCATCGGTGGGCCACCGAAAATCATTGTAAAGGCCAGATATGCATTCAACCACCCCCGGGTCAACTGAATAAGCAGCATTTGCTTTACCGTGTTTGAAAAGAAAGGAAATTTCAAAACATGCATAAATTAGGCTTTATTCAGATCATTAGTAGACTCTCCAGAAAGTAGCGTTATCGAAAAGATCGATGACCAATGCGACCGACATATTCAACATCTTCATGTTGGAGCTATTGACGTGAATTCGAAGGTTATCATGAAGTAGCTGTCTACAGAAATACTCGAGCTGACACACCAACGTGAAACCCCGCAGCAATCACCAATTCGTACTTGAACTTTCACTGCTCTACAGAAAGAAGATAAAAGAGAGGAGCAGTAGTAGTGGTCAAAGCTACAGAAGACAGGAAGGGTATTCGCAACGCTCACCGGAATTTTGTCAATTACAGGACCAAGTTAATCTCATTCCGATGCCCGGACGGGTTAGTGACGGATTCCAAAAAAGCTGTGGAAAAAATCATCCACGACTACTATTAGGAACTGTTCACCAGCTACCTTCTCCCGCCTCCATATGGAATTACGGAGAATAGATATGCCGTCCCACTAGTTCTCCCTGCCTAAATTCGAAGTGCTATTTAGTCAGTGGAAGACCGTACAACACCCGATCATTACAAGAATATACCGGAGTATCTGGAGGACCTTTCATTAGTCCTCGCACTCCTCAACTTTTCGTAGATTATCCGTTAGAATGGATGGATCCTATTCAATCGAATATGGAAATCCAAATTAGTACCAAGATCGAGTTTCTGCAGAAAAGAGAAGCCTCCACGAATTAGGCAGTTATTGCCCAAATTTTCTGCTGTGTATCGCATATAAAGCATCATTCACTGGAGTCATCTTCACCAAAATTGGCAGAACACTAGACGAAAGACGCCCATGTGAGCAAGCAGGGCTTCGAAATAGATTCAATGCCATAGACCACATCCACACATTACCAAGACTCAACGAAATGTCGCAAGAATACAAGAGACAGCTCTGTCTCACTTTCATCGATTTAAAGAATACTTTCGACTCAGCTAAGACAGAACCACTTATATAAGCTCTGGCAGGCCAAGGCATTCCTTCTCAATATAAAGATGTTATTCTTGGTCAACCATACAACAATTTCACAACCAGGATATTAGCTTTTTATAAAAACATGAGCACTGACGTAGAAACGGAGGTTCGACATGAAGATACTGTCTCGCCAAAAATATTCACAGCTACCTTTGAGAACGTGTTGAGAAAAGTGGAATGGGACAGAGTAGGAGCGAAAATCAATGGTCGGCAACTACACCACCTTTGCAATACAGTGAAAAACGTCATAATTAACTCTGGCGTACATCAAAGCAAATCACTTTTTAAAAAAGTGATACCAAATAGACATAGAATAAATAAAGATCATGCAAGCATCTACGGAAACTAGTCAGGATATCGCTCCTATGACATCAAGCATTAGGCAGACGAAACGAATGCTTCCCGTTTCGACAGAGTCCATGGAAATATTGCGGTCCGGCTCAATTCACAGAATACGATGTTCATAAAGAACGAAATGACGATGAAACTAACGACGAGTAAGGCTCAACACTTCATAGTGTTAAATAGCCTTGTAAACCCGAAGGAAATGTGCAATAGATTACCATGGTATTAAACTTTAGTCGAATGTTCAGCCAAACATTGAATCAGTGTATCAGCTCGCAGATTTAGAAACGAAAGTTCTGATCAACAGTATCCTCTTAGATGAGATATCTTAAACAACAATATTGGATAAAACTCCCCGAGGCAAACCAAGGACGACGCCTGGAAGGAAATCAACAGATCGTCGAGGACGTGCCTGTTGTCTTTCAACTTCTTGTAATTCAAACAGAACATTTGGCATTACTTTGAACTTTTAAAAAACAGTAGTTTTCGCAAAATATTTATCTGCTCAGGTAAACACCACCACTTATGTTAATGATGAAGCCGTAGATGGCATAACCCATACAGTGTTCCGAAAAACAAGATATCGAACACACAGAAACCCAGGATGAGAAGTTGTCCGCAAAAACATTCCATGTCTGCGCACAGCATACCACATACTTGTGTGAACAGTTAATTGCACTTGACACCTCAACCGGTGATATGCAATACAATGAAAAACGTCATAATTAACTTTGACGTACGTCAAAGCAAACCACTTTTAAAAAAGTGATAACAAATAAACATAGAATAAATAAAGAACATGCAAGCATCTACGAAAATTAGTCAGCCATGAAGCAAAACAAGAAAGCTTAATAATCCATCAAATAGGCAACTCCATAGCTTTGCGAGTTCTAACAACGCGAGTGATGTAAAGATAGAAGAAGTCAGCATAAAGAACAGTCTGGACCACTCCGGCCACTGTCGCAATAGGATCGAAGAACGATTCAGTGTAGTACCTGAAGTAGGTAGCAATTTTCATCAGTAGTGGACTAATTAAACAAGTTCTAGAAATTTTAAAAAGGAAAGGAAACTGCGAGAAACCAAAAAATACATCACGGTCACAACTCCTCCCAAACTTGGTACACAATCCCTTCTTCACGTGGACAGAAGATTAAAAAAATTCCATCCCTTAGAGAATCGTCATGAACGTGACTTTATCGAGTATGGCAAAAGAGGTTAGGTTCATACTTTTCCAATGCAGTGATGCTCGAGGTCGTACGATTTATCAAATCATTGCTTCTACCCTCCCAAATATGTCTGGCACTAGTAATAATACTACCAATAATTACTAATAATTTCTCCGGAAAGATGGGGCTTCATTAGTCTGCAGGGTTGCATCGACGATCGTGTGTGAACAGCACCTCTAATCATTGCACACTACTTGCCTGATATGCGTATTAGTTCAACGCTTCAAACAGGTTATCAACATTTGAATTCATAAAACTTCAGAAAGGATTTTAAGGAATTGAAGAATTTGAACTTCCTTCAAAGCACAAGTGAAGCTGCCACCTTTTATTCCACATCCCAACGACATGGATAACGCAGTATCTACAGCACACAAAGACGACCACTTAAATTTGAAATGCAAATTCTTTCGCACACTTATTGATTCCGTTCTGGAACTATACAGCACAATAATTCTTCATTTCTACTAAGCTCTTGTTTATTGCCTCAATCTTAATACAACCACTGCAATAAAACAGTAATAATTTTTTAAAAACTGAACATAAATACAACCACAATGATTCCCAGATATTCGCGAAACTTGGACCCTTGGCTAGACAAAGCACGATTACCCTTTCCGGGGACTCGCTTATTACACATTGCACCATGAAAGTCCTTGCTTTGCGTGTTTCTCAGATAGTCTTCTACCTAACGCTGCTATCAGCAATCACCCGTCAGCGGAATTGATCTGGGTACCACTGAATCGGCACTGAACCCAGTTAAGCCGAGGTTGTAGCCGAAATCATAACGTTAATCTTTCATTTGCTGACTATTATAACTTTTCACAGCAGCATATGCCTAATATATAAATTGAATAGAATCTACTCAGAATTCTCGCCAATATCCCAACACAAACCTGTGAAATATGTAAAAATCCCACCTGTAAACCCAGTTCAACAGGTATAGGGCACGGTACATTCCAAGTGCAAAAAGATAGTGAGCCGTGATGGTTTCAGCAGAACCGGTTGCTTGTAGCATGAACAACTGTGGCATGATAGCAACAGCTTCCAAATATATGCTATAATTAAACCATGTGAACAAAAGTTCGAAAACAATGTGACAAAAGAAAGATAAACCTGAAGGTCCACAAAATTTCCATGGTCGTGAATTCGTGGTTGATGACAAGCGAAAGGAGAATACAAGGAATAAGAAGGAACTCGACGCGAAAGCTGTCGCTCTCCTTTTCGTAAGTAGGACGGAATTTCACTAGCATAAGATAAAGAGTCCCATAGGAAGAAATAATGAAAAACACCTGAAGTGCAGTCGTACACAATCTCATCACATCTTAAATGCCTAAACTTCTTTCGTTATCAGTGGCAAGAACAGTTTGGAATATCAATGCCAAGAAGAGTGTAAAATCATCTTAAATCTTTATCGGTTAAGAAGTAACCATTAAAGGGATAAAATGGATAAAGATCTCGGCGTTGATCAATCCTTGGAGGATGTGCCATGCATTCGACTTCATTAAGCATCGTTTGGAAGTGATTGAACGCATACCTAGCCTTTAAAATGACTTGCGGTAGCCTAACGATGCTTCCAGCCAGTGCTGCTCTCCTCCCAGACAAGTTGGGTACCAATTTGCTGACCACGCAGGGATGGCAGGCTTGGTGAACCTTGGGCGCGGGAAGCGATCCCATGTGTAACGCAGTGCTCCGAGCACTGAACCACACTCACCCCTAAGTAACCATTACACTATAACAATTCTAACCTTCATCACTGTGTTATATGTTGAAATGAATGTCGTGAAAAGATCCAGGTATCTAGCGGTGAACACAACAGCAAACAAAACCTGCGAACGTGCTGATATCCCCGAGCATGAGCGGGTCTTCCACATCTAGAAGCATACATTGGATCAATGTTGTAGCACAACATAACAGACAGCTCTTGAGAATTGCAACCATAACATTGGTGAAAACATAACCTTCGCTAGAAGAATGAATATCGCTAAGAGGTGTGACATGTCCGCAGTGAGCCGAAAAACGTTCATTGTTGCCCCAAGTTCGGGATTTGACCTCTAAAACTGGTAACTTTAGGGTATAGGTACCAGAAATTAAGGTAAACAAAGCACGGCAAACAAAATTAAGTCACACATCTACGAGCCATCAAGTATCAACGACTGATTTTCTTATAAAAAGAACTCTTAGGTGAGAACGTTGAAAAGGATATGTCAATAAGTAAGACGTGGTGCATTTGCCAACACATAACCAAAGCATTTTAGCATACAGTAGCGTTGCATGAAAATCAGGGTAATCGCTTAAGGACCAGTCTAAAAACCAATTTGTGTTCGGGTGTAATGAAATAATTAACATTTTAGTTATATGCCTGTGTGTCCCATTTTCGAGTGTTAGCACAGTTGTCACTTTATGCTTTCTATTTAATTCTTCTTTTGAGTTTTATTGCAATATGAAAGGCGATTCCAGAGTGGGAGCCATGACGTGACTATAACTGGTTGCTCTTCAGTACTTCTAGATCCTAGAAGAGTTAGTTAAGACCAAGTTCTGAGCAGAAATGCAAGACACACTTTAAAGTAAGTTGTGGTATCCATTGGATTCGCTGTGCTTTATCGATCGTTGCCATGACGCGACTTTGCATGGTCCTAGCTGATCACCATATGGGCCGTAGGCTTTTGTAAGTAACGTCGTTCTTGAGCTGTACACTGCTCAGTTTTTGATTTTCATCTATATGAAAGGTTTTTCATACTGAAGCGATTTAACCGTTCTTATTTCTTGCGTTTTAGTAAGCGGGATTTCCATGGAAAGCGTAACAAAATAGTACTGAGTGCTTTCGACTAAATACAAGTAGCTGCGATGGTAGCTCCACTACCAGTGGAGCTATTCTGTAAGCAAGTATTACTGCTCAACAGATTGCTTCAGTTTTTCAGTTCTCTAGGAGAATTCATTATCGCTACCCTTTCTTGACAAAATTTTTATTTTATAGCTCATATCTCGTCTTACTTGTCCACTTTAACTTATTAGATCTCTAAACACCAATGAGAGCTTTGTGGAATTGTTGACAAAATAGCAACAATGGGCCTTGGTTTCAATGTGTACATTCTTGCTTGTGTTTGGCTCTTCAACTTTAACTACGATATCGCAGATCTTAATGCGCTATATTAATTGGAATAAAAGTGGAAATGAGGGATCAATGCCAGTAAATAAAGGTTTTCTTACTCCACAGTGGAATCTGGATTTTCACGGGGCCCAATTTTTCCTTCTCTTCTTCATTTTTTCCTCTTTTCTTTCGTCTTTTCACCGATATGAAATATCTTATACTTTGCTTGTATTTCAGACAGAAGCAAAGAAACAGAATTGTTCTGAATGAAACGGCCTTTTTCTTTGGGTGAATCGTTGCTTGCGGTCGTAAGGGTTTAGTTAAGAATTTTCAAATTTCGCATTTACCTTTTAATTTTTTGAAAATTCTTGCTTTAAAACAGTTTAAAATTTACATAATATTTTTTGGCGATGGCGTAATGCTTGTTGTATAGGATTATCACGTTTTAAACTCCCCATATGTTTTCTTGTAGAGAAATTGTCAACAGTCAAAGGAAAACTCGTGAGAATATGGTAGCGGTACTAGAGATAGGAACTTCATGAGGTTTCAAAATGAGGAGCATCTTCATACAGAATGAAGTGAATGTCTATGTGTAAAAATTAAAGCTGAAGTACAGTGGAATTACTAACTTGGATACTAGGATGATGATCTTCACTGGTTGTGGCCGCTTCAGCATAATTTTCACTTTTTCGGAGTTCTGCTTGTTTAGCTATTGTGGCTTCCAGGAGTCCCGAGGTCAGCCTGGCCAAATTCTGCCCCAACAGTGGAAAAAGAAATAAATAACAGTAAATACAATCCGCTGGTGGTGAGTTTATCTAGAAAAACAATTAGTAAATCTGCAAAAAGCTGTTGCCTTTTTCTACCCGAAAAATTTTGAAAAACGTCTGTATTTCCTTCCCACGATTCTGAGGACTTTGTAATCGATATAATAAAATCTACTAATCTCTTTAGAAACGTATGTCTTGTTTGATTCTGACCATATGTCTACCACACGTTTCCCAACTTAGTACCTCAGCACTGTTGGCTTGTTAACGAGCTAGTGCTCATATCTTATCTTTTTCTATTCTTTAAATATTTTCATTATCTCTAAGTCATTAGTAAGTTTGTTGAAATGTGATAGGTCTTTGATATGGACATATGCAAATATAGAGATGGACTTCTCACATGCGTTTGTGGCCACAGTTCCAAACACTCTCACATTTGCCAACAAGAAAACCATTTTTGATACCAGTCCATTACGTAAACAAAGTGAAGGAATTATTGAGACGCTGCGTGAAGCTGGTAATTTCTCTTAACCCTAATTAGTAGTTTTCGTAGACGTTATTTTTTAATAAAAGTTTCGTTTAAGGCCTCGTAGTGAATGAGCACTGCTTGGACGATGGTGCTCCTGTTTCTGCATTGTTAATTGGCGATGCAGCAGTGTCAATTTGTGGAACCACTTTTTTATGTAGACCAAGAAACCCAGGAATTTCGCATATTGAGGTTACCATTCCGTAGGTTCTTTTGAAAAATTTTATGTGTTCTGTGACCTATTGTAGTTTATAAGATGAGAGTTACTTGGATACTTGGATATTTGAGTAACCTGTCCTCACTGATTGTGCGGGATCCAGCAAAATTTCCGTTTTTTCAGAGTCTTGCTGGTTTAGCCATTGTGGTTCCTTGGAGTTCCGAGTTCAGCCTAGGAAAAGTCTGTCCCAGGCCATCACCGCCATAGGCAGTCTTCCCCTTTGTGGATCAGAGGGAGATTTGCCACTATGTTACTAGTTTGATACCAGAACGGTGGTGGATCCTGGTATGGGTTTACTCTTAGATGGGCTTCCTGATGGAAATGTCGGACTCTTTCTCAGCTTGGGAGACTCTGCTGGGGGATTAATCGTCAAGTTGTATATCGCAGCCCGACACCTAGGAACACCTTCCAACCACGTGGAGGCGCTAAGCCGTTGGGAGGAAGACGATAATTTTACCATTAATATGCAAAACATCTATAAACATATGCTACATTTCCTTATGATTAATTTTACTCAGCTCCTATTGTTACAGTTACGTTGTATACTATCAGCGTACTGTTGTTCTATAGAAGAATGTCCTGATGTTGTGGATGGGAAAACCGTCGTCTTAGACGGAGGAGATGTCTTCTTTACTGGAAGGGAAATTTTTGTCGGTGTTCGTAAGCACGGTACAAATTTCGAAGGCGCTAAGGTGAATTTATAGTTCGACGTTCAGATAAAAAATTTGTCAGTTAATCAGTTTCAAAACTGCATTCTCAAAATTATACATTTTCAGGCAGTGGCGCGAGTGTTCTGCGACCATGTCGTGATTCCTATCCACATGTCGGATAAAGCCCAATGTCTCAAATATTATGTTGCTGTCGTTGCTCCGGATATATTAGCCATTGGAACCAGTAGGGAAGGTCAACACATCCTCAAGGTTTCCCGCTTATCTCCTCGTTTAGCTAATTCGTCCAACTAATAGTTATGGGCCAAAAATGTGCTGAACGGATGCAAGGCCCTGTTATAGGTTATCGAAATGGAAGCTACCCTTCGATACAAGATAATTCCTGTTGAAGATGATCAAGGAGTCAACTGTATCCTGGTGAATGAACGACTAATATTTCTGCGGAGCAAGACAGCTGCTGTCAGTGACTTTACTGTGACTCATTACTGTTCTACTTCCTAATTGATAATCCATTGCAGAAATTCATTGCTCTCCAATCAAATTTGCTAGAGTTATGGACACTGGATGTTGCTGATCTTCTTAGGGTACTTTGGCTTTATCATCTACCTCACATTATTTCGAATGTTTTAGGTGATCTGGTAAAGCATTCACAAACGTTACTGGTACAATTGCAGTTCGGCTTACCGCTAGCGCGGCATTGTCTACTGACCAAAGCGATGAATACGACCAAGATCTTCAACACGCAACAGTAACGGATAAGGTCAACATCTTTCAAGCCCTACCAATACGAACCGTATTCAAGGAAATATATATCTCACTTAGCACAAAAGTGGTCACTTTCGTATACTTGTACTGCATCCAATAACTGTAGTCGGGTAAACAGCTCATATATCTTATGTAGAAATTATATTCGCAAAAGTCCTTTCTGTTGTTGTACCCCATATCTGAACATATTTAGTGTTTGAAACTAAAACTGGTTGAGGCAGCATACATAAAGAGAATGTTCACACCTTTACGCCACAACATTCAATGCATCATTAGAGCGATACCGACACTTTAAACTAGTGCAGTATGAGATAAACTTTGACATTTTCATAATTTCGCTCCTTTTAGTAGAAATACAAAGCGTATAACAACGGTCTGAGTAGTACGAAGGAACAAAGTATAAATGTAAGCAAGTGAAGAGTATAAAACAACACTGAACGCTCCAGAGACAAATGTGACTCATCAGGAGGAAAGAATTCCGTTGTGCGTCGTTAAGCGCCATGACAAAAGTGATACACACCTGTATGTTAATTCAATTATAAATAAACAGATGACTCAATTCTTTAAAACAGGACAGTACAACAAGGAACTAGGTCTCTAGACGCCTACGACACTGAGGGCTGATTTACTTGTGGGCTCCAGGCTGGATCCCCCGCAGCCATCATTGTGCTACGATCAGCCTTAAAACGGTAGGTTATAACAGAATACATAGCGCAACCGAACACATCAAGAAAGAAACTTCAAAAATACTAATTACAGCGTAAAAGGTAATCTGATATGTTGGTAAAATATATCTCTGAAGGGTAACAATTTAGCTAAACAATTTCATGAAAATGTGCGACAAACCTTCTTGCCAAGCGCCATAAATCCATAAATAGTCCCACAGGTAAAGATCATTCCCGAACCGAGAAATTTGTTGAGTTCAAAGCACATGATGATAGGTATTATACCCATTCTGGAAGCAAAATATAATACAAGATAATTAACCCTTTTGGGAATGCAAAGGCATTCTCAATAGTGGTAGCAATCACAGAAGGAATTGGCAAGTTTTTAGCTGGTCCAAAACGGTACAATCTTGATTGTTCTCGTGAGTTCATCAAGCGGGACTAGGATGGTGTCGCAAATACTTAAAATGTAGATGGGAGTCGTTCATTTTACTGAAAAATCCACTACTCATAACCACATAAGCTATTATCCACACACGTTTCTTTAGTGAATAAGACAAGAACGGATCAATGATGACCGCAGCGATTTTCTTAAATGCCATTACGATTTGTTTTTTGCGTAAGCTTAGCGTCATCTTCAGAAACAAGCTCAATTTCCTCTCAAATACATTTGAATACAATCGAACCTGAGGGATATTTCGACATAACTAACTAGCGATTGCACCTGAGTTTGTCAGGACTATAAAGCCGTGGATTAGAAACACTTCAGTGTTTAACCGCATTCAACTACTAATTTCCATTCAAACCTGCCAAGTTGCAGATAATTGAAAACGAGCGTGAGGAGAGAAGAGAAACAGTGCTGAATAAATCTCGTCGTCGGTAACTCCTGCCGAGAGTTCGTGAGTTATCAAATTAAGTTGATGAAAATCGAGAAAGTCATGTGCGGGTTCTATTTCCATTTCTTTAACGCTATCTTATTTCGCGTGTGAGTGACCCCTTCTGAGAAATCACAGGAACACATCTAGTCTGGGCGGAATTTGCAGTTCTTATCTTCGAAACTTATCTGGTCTTCGAAATCTAAGAGATTACACATCGATACCAAAACATATATGGGCCTGCCACATAATGAGAAGAAATAAGAGATGGAGCAAAGGATTGTGGTGTAGACTCCAAGAGTTGGTAAGTGTCGGCTAAGACGATGACCTACACTATGGGATGAAGTGTGCAACTCAGGTCAAGCACCTACATTCGCAGATGGAAACTATTCGAGGATCGCGAAATACGCCTTGTACACATTGCCAAGTTCGATGTGTACTACTATCATAGAAGAAGACTGCGAAAACGAAAAGAGTGGAAGATGTGCTGGGGCACGCACTGTTCATCAAGACGGACCACCTAAGTGTCCAAGCAATATGTAGCATAGGCGAAATGGATCAAATTTTAGGCATTTTTCACGTGTGGAAAAAAACTGTCACATTCAGAATCAACCGGATTGGTACATACAAATATTGTAGCCATGTTCTATGTAGATGGTTAAATCAACATAATGAGCACCCTTTGGTAAAACTTTAGAAAAAAACTGAGCAGGAATGACCCAGCCGCTTGATGAGTTCTAAGATCATCGACAATGAATTGAACAAGAAAAAGAACATTCGGCTTCGACTCTACTTCTTCAAGTCTGTCCCATTCCCCTTAGCAGGATTTCTCGAAGATCTGAACGCTATATGATCTAATGAAAGAGAGGTCGGCTTAATATAATGCGGCATCACGACGTGGAGTTGCGACGCTCATAGATTTGTGAGTCTCTCGCACGGGTCTGTTAAAAGCCAAGTGGGCCAGAGACGTGATCCGTCATTATGACAACCCGATGGAGAATAGCTGTTACCAAATGGGTCCCACGGATTGTAATGCGTACAATAGGAGAGGGAATCATACGATGGCCAAGCATTTTTACGAAGAACCTATAAGGAAAAACGATGCACACGAATTCCTTGAGCGAGCAGCACAGGTGAAGTGGATGATTGCCCATCTAGTATCTTCCTAACGACACCAAAAGAATGGTGTGAACATTCTCATGCGCTATCATATTCTTAGAATAACAGAAATGAAAAGAAATTCAACCAATTAGTACAACCTAACCCCACGTTGTTTCTCTTTCAAATTTTACCTAGCAATGTTGATGGAAGTTACGATCAGAGGATGTAAAATGCAGACTACAAAAAAGGTAGAGTGTCTCATAGGTGAGTTATGGAATTCTTACAGCTGGTCAGCATTTTGCAGATGACGAGCATCGTGAAACGTCAAAAGCAAAGTGGTTATCCTTACAATGATGAAAACTATGTATAAATTCAAATGTGATAGAACAAGAAAGTTAAACATACTCACATTCCAAAAAGTGTCGCTTTATGCCAATGTTTTCGCGACTCACTGAACTGAGCGATCTTCTCGATGAAATCTACGAACATGCAACAGAACGGAGCTTCTAACGCAACCGTCAGGAAACCAAATACCCTGAAGTTCTACCGAATTTATGGAGAATTAAAGTTCCCTCAAATTTCTATTTCTACGATGATTTTCCTGTAATTTTTAAGAGATACACACATTTGAAGTAATGAGGCTGTTATGCAGTTAGCCGACAAAGATAGAAGACCAAGAGCACCAAAAAAGATCGCGAAGAAACCGCCAATAATCCCAACTCCCTTAGCGAGGAATCGAACCCACCTGGAATATAAATACTTCATGAAAGAAGAGAAATTAAAGGTTACCAGAACTGACTGTTGTGCTAAGGTGAGCCATAAGAATGATGGCGAAATTCACATTGAATGATCATTCCGAACTAACCTAGGAAAGATATGGTGCAACAGAGCTGCAGAAAAGTCGTATTTAACAACAAGTCATAATAAAAAAAAAGATAAAGCCCTCGACGTTGATCAATCCCTTAGAGATGCGCCATTCACTCGAATTCACTAAGTATCGTTGGAGGTGACTGGCCTTTACAATGACTAGCGGTGGCCTACTGATGTATTGAGCCAGTGCTGCTAACCGCCCAGACAAGTCTGGTACCAATTTACCGACATTGGAGGGATGAAAGGCTTGGTGGGTTAGGCGCGCGGGAATCGATCCCATATGTATTGCAGGGCGCCTTCGACCACTGCGCTACACGCGTCCATGACGACGAACTATAAAGGACACACAACAAGAAATATTTCAAGAAAGACATGCGAAATTGAGCTTATGCAAAGGGAAAATTTTCAGAAAGATTTCCACAAATAGTATTCATAAAACAGTGATGGAATTCATACACAGTTAAGAAGAAGTTGTTACATGAGCATGAAGATCCCTTCACTTTTCTTAAAGGCCTTAACTAGTTGCTGTTACCAAATGACTCGTTGTCCTATACTGGTTATGGTACTTTTACCAGCTGCTAAACTAGTTCAACATAATCAATTTGTTCAAAACATTCATATTTGGGCTTATCGACAAATACATAAGGTTCCAGCACTACATAAAAAGTTTCCGTGCATACCTCGCTATTAAAATGGTACCGATTCAGTAACTATGCTATTAAAACAACAAAAATAACCACAACAGTAGAAGACAGCTGAAACTTACCACGGAAAATTGGCATTCGGATCATGCTCGGCTTGCATCTGAGTGGAAACATTTGACGCGGCCGCTCCCATGGCTAATCTGAAATCATGAAACCGTAACTCAGTTATGAACCCAAAAGATCGACTTTCTATAAAACTCGGCATAATAGTCGATATATCTGCACATATGTTCTTACGAACTGCCCTTTTTTAGCCAATGTGAGGTTAGCACAGATGTTCTGGTTGTTGTTGCCGTCTTTAGACAATGTCTGCCTGTCTGTTCGTCTGTCAATCTGTTTGTCTTAAGGGAAGGTCAATAACAACTATAAGAAGATCTATACCAACCATGCGTCAGCTAAAAAAGGGCAGTTCGTAAGAACATTATGCATAACTCAATTACCATACATGTCGTAAACGTATTAAGGAAAGAGCTTAATGTGGAGAACGTGTTGCATATTTACTGCTAACGCTTAAAAACTGCCAGATTGCGGTGCATGAGATTGATCGATCGATATCGTGTTGCCATATATGGCAGTTATCTCAGTCTGATAAAAGTCCCTTGTCAAGAAAACAGTTCTTCGACTAGATAAAATAACTCAGAACAAAAGAAAGCGTGGAAAAGAAGTACGTAGTGATGGAGGACAGCGATCAACACACTTTCACAGTTTTAATGAAAGTTAGTTTAGAGTAATAGCGTAAGTACTAAGTTGACACTGGTCCGATTAGCAAGGGGCAAATCATACGGAATTTTTGTCAATTTGAACCGTAATGCTTGCTTTAAGTAGGTAGAAGGGCGCAGGTAATCCTCAGTGGCGCGCGTCTGAGCGCTGCTTCTATGCACGGACCCAATCCTTTCAAAAAGAAGCATCCCTAGCAAGCAGCTTTATTTAAAATGATATTCCGACTTGTCTTGATCGCCATGAAGATCTGTCGACATCAAATTCTTTCTCGCTACCCCAGCAAATTCGTATATTTACTACAAAGTACGGCTCCAGTAGTCGGAGTGGCTCTGCAATACACATGGGATCGATCTCCACCCCCAGGGTTCACCAAGCTTTCCATCCCTCCGGGGTAGACAAAGGTACCAGACTTGTCTGGTGGAATATCAGCACTGGCTCGATACATCGGCATGACATCTTGAGTTATTGTCAAGGCCAGATATGCATTCAATAACATCGAACGATGCTTAATGAAGTCGAATGCGTGACGCATCCCTCAGGTATTGAGTGACGCCGAGAGCTTTATCCTTTTCATCCTTCTGCGGCTCCATGAAAATTATTGAACAAGTATCTGTTTCATATTACTGCAAAGCGAGAGGGGCGGACAGCACAGTGGTAGTGATGTCCGTCATCACGAACATGGTGCTAGTTCGATCCCGCTCCGGGCACACCAAGCCCATGATCACTTCTCGGTCGGGGAGGTGGTATGGGACTCGGCCGGGAAAAATCACCCTCTGCAGTCCAATTGGGAACGGTGCAGCAGGGCTATCTCAGCACTCCAGGGATATTCTTCGTATTTTTGTTGAGCAAACGCGAGGTGTTATTATTCTTTATTCACAAATGAGCTGACGTTTCGGCGGATTTCGCCTTCCTCAGAGCCTGGAAAGGTCAAGTTGACAGCAATCTACTTGGCCAGACGCCTCCATAACCAAACAAAGAAACTCTAAACCAAGATTTCAATCACATTGAACACAGCTTTGCACACTCACCGCTTTCTATGAGGTCTCCATTAAGTATGTCACGTAGAGACCAACCGCACAGAAATCACATGGAAGTATAATGTGCCCCACTCATCAGAATAGCAGTCTTATATACTGCCCTGCATCACGCGTGATAATGAGGCATTCTTCCCTGCGGTTCATTTTCGGATTTCTGGAATTAATCCAGAGTGCCTCGAGAGTTTTTCGCGCCTGTGTTCTTGATTCGCGTGCAAGGGTCGTGACACATACTTCAAAGTCCTCCCCGAAATCCGAAAATGAACCGCAGGGAAGAATGCCTCATTATCACGCGTGATGTAGGGCAGTATATAAGACTGCTATTCTGATGAGTGGGGCACATTATACTTCCATGTGATTTCTGTGCGGATGGTCTCTACGTGACATACTTAATGGAGACCTCATAGAAAGCGGTGAGTGTGCAAAGCTGTGTTCAATGTGATTGAAATCTTGGTTTAGAGTTTCTTTGTTTGGTTATGGAGGCGTCTGGCCAAGTAGATTGCTGTCAACTTAACCTTTCCAGGCTCTGAGGAAGGCGAAATCCGCCGAAACGTCAGCTCATTTGTGAATAAAGAATAATAACACCTCGCGTTTGCTCAACAAAAATACGAAGAATTACTTGATCAATGCCGAGGTTAATAGAAAGTCGGTCGTGGGAGTTACTCCAGGGATAATCGACTCGATCAGCACTCTACGACTTTGAAGATGAAACGAAATTTCTCAAGTAGCAACCAAAGCCATACGTAAAAGTTGGAAGACCTATGTGTATGATGGATGCTAGGAAGCGAATCAAATGTGAGAAGGTTTGGTATCCGTACAGAGTATAAATCCTGTATAGTTTCAACTGCAGTGCTTTTTACTAGCTCTTTGACAGTACTTTTTTACTGTGATAATTTCGTCTTGGTACAGGTTCTAATCGAAAATTCCATCTGCCAAGAACCAAAGTATAATTATAATCTGCTTTTGATACAGATTTGATTTCGAGAACCATATCACTGTTTCATGCTAACCTTTGCGCAAAACGCCGTCGGTTGCCGTATAATATCCACTTTTGATTTTCTGAAATGAAATATTACAGTGCTTCAAGAAGCTGGTAGTTTTCATTGTGCGAAATAAGTACAGACTGTGAATCCGTTTCATCTGATGGCTTCAAGTGACCACTGTTGGTAGTGTCGACTCATCCTAGCTCTCTTCTTCTCCAACACTTTCATTTCTACCTTGTAACCACCGTTGTACCGTACGAATGTTGGCAGCTCCTTGCCGAAAGACAAAATGGACATTGTGAGTGCTTCACAGTGACTAGAGTTGTGCTAAATTTTAATTAACATTTAGTTTGCGTCACCTATAATCTCACCAAGTGCTTTGAACGAGCACCAGCTAAACATCTACTGTTTCGTTTCCTGCGACCGTGCTGCACGGTGTCTTCCACTTATAATGGGACGTGGCGAGCATCGAACTTCTTGTACGAAGCCCTTTACTTCTACCGCTGCGGGCGATAGGATAGGGGCAGGTCTCCAATGGCCCAGGTTCACTCTTAGCCAGATTTCTGGAGCAGAATGCTGAACTCCTTGTAAGTTTGGATAGCCATTTTGTGATATTACACGCTCATTGTACATCACATTTGAAGATTTACTAACACATTTTTGTGCTCTGGCTTATTGATAAGCTTACACGAGGATCTTAAAAATTTTTATTGCGGCCAACGCTCGACGGTTTCGCCTTCTTCACAGCGATGATGATTAGAATCGAGTGTACTCACCAATTGCTGCTTCTTGTGATATTGGTCTTCGATGTCATCAAATCGAGTCGGCGAAACCGCCAAACTTTTAGCCATAATAAAGATTCTTAACAACTTCTCATAACCTTGTCAATAAGTCGAAACTGACTATTTATGTTGAGGTTCAATGGAAGTCAGAATTGAGATACTATTACAAGGAAACTGAGACGTTAGCAAAGCTTGGAACCCCAGATAAGCTCCAAACCCTAGTTTTCACCTTCAAGGCACTCACGTCTTATCTATCCACTGCACCATCGGAGCCTTTGCTTTACCTTTCTCTCGGCCAGTTTCTTAGCCTAACAGAGCTAGCAGAAATCATCCGTCAGTGGAGGATATTAAGGAAAGACGTAAATATGATAAAATTAACGGTAAAATCTGGCTGAGAAAAAGACAAAGCAAGGGTTTCAATAGTTCAGTTCAATAACACATGAGCTCCCGGAAAGGGAAATCGCGGGTTAGAAGCTCACCTGGTGTTCCAAGTTTTGCTCATTTTTGAGCATCATTGTTGTTGTAGTGTGTACCACCCTGTCTTGAAAAAAATAATAAGCAATAAATTGAAGTAAGCATTCAGGACCGAAAGTTTACACCTCGATGCGACGAGCTTCTGTGCGTAGTTAACAATTATATGGGGGAAAAACTTCTAGTATTTGACAAAGAAAG